TCAAACCCTTGCTGGTAGAGAGTCTCCTTTAAGCCATGGGAACTCACCTCTCTTGGGTTTTAAGGACAGGAATGGATGTCCCGCCATGCTCTCTCCATCTTGGTTTATCAAGTCTCTTATTGAATTTGGTCCCTCCTTACTGCGTTGTTCCTTATGCTGAACAGCACTGTCCTCTTACTGTGACGTCAGCCCGTTCCCTCCAGGGCATTCTCTCTCTTCACACGTTCCTTAGAGGAAAAGCAGATCCCGACTGTCCTTATATGAGGACAAGCTACTTTCAGTTTCTCTCAGTTTCCAGAGAAAGGTAGGCTATTATACTACATGAGGTTGGAGATGCCCCTGTCACACCTGTGTCCCCTCCCTGCTGAGAACCCTGGGGAGAACGCTGGCGCCACAGCATAGTAATGGGCTTTACTTACAGCTCACGCTTTTGAGCACTAACCTTGGACACTTACTGAAAATAGTGTTTTAGGTGCTTGAGAAGTGTTAACTCAGTCCTCAGTAATTCTGCGAAGAGTGTACTGTTACTATTTTTTGTTTTACAGATGTGAAAGCCAAGGCGCAGGGTAACAGGGCTCGCAGTGAGTGGCAGGTCCAGGACACAAACCGAGGCAGCCTGGCCGCGAGTCTGTGATCCTAACGACTCTGCTTCTACCTCTCAAGGTCCCCTGGTGGGTCCTGAGCTCCCAGGTGAGACTCTGGAGTCCCAAGCGCCCCCGTGTTCCCCCAGCTGCTGTTCATTATCCTTTCACGGGGAGACGAGGGCCGAGGACTCCCTGCATCTCCCTCCTTGCTGCGTCTCTTCCTTGCAATGCATCTCTTGCTCTGCTCGCCAGATTGGTCTTCCTGAGGAAACTGCTGTCATCACTGAGCACCCTTTATCAGAGAGCTCCAGGGGCACCCCAGCATTGGCATCAGAGGGCATCATGAGGGGCTCTGGGAGGCCGAAGGGCCTGGGGATCTGCACTTAACAGGAAATCCTAGGGCCCTCTGGTTCACCCGTATCCATCCCCTTCTCTACAGCAAGTCCTGTGCTGAAGCCAGCCTGGTCTTGTCCCCATTCCTGCTCTGAGCCTTTGTTGATGATGTCCTCGCCCAGAATGCCCGTCGCCCCGCCTCCTGCCTCTCCAGACCTTACCTGTTCTTTGGGTCTCACTTGGAGTTCCACCTCCTCCAGGAAGCTTTCCTGAATGCTGTCCACCCTCAACCGGTGATGACTTTTTTCTCTGCTCTGGACCCTCTGCGGCCCTTGTGTACCACTGCCCTGGTATTTGATCATGAATTTTGACTTCTTACCCTTTCTCTTATGTGTTTTTGCTTTGTTTCTCCATCTAGAACACAATCCCTTTGAAGACAAAAACCACGTCTCAGATGTCTATCATCCACAAATGCTCCAAAATTTCTTGCACGTGATGTATGCACGATAGATCTCTGTGTGCAGGACCTACAGAATACCAGGAAGGGAGCCCTCGAGATCCTAATTTGTCACCATCGAAGTTTGCGTTTGTCTTCATAACAGGATGGAGGCTAGACGCATGTTCGCTTTAAGAAGCAGCACAGAGAACAGGGTCAATGGGTAGCTTCCTAACTTTGTGTAGCAGTGGGATTCTTCCCTTACAGGCAGATTCCTAGGAGCACAACGTGTAACGCAGGCGGGGGCCGAGTTGTTCTGTGCCCACCACCCGACGAGGGCCGCTCTGAGGAAATCTAGGGGTTGGGGTGTCGTAGCTCCAAAATCTCTGGGGAAGATCACGTCTTACTTTGCCTAAGAAGAATTTGCTAATTTGGATTACTAAAAGGAGAAATTATCTGCACTCATTTTATTAAAAGCAGATTTGCTGTTGTTTATAAAATGACAATTCAGCAACTTTTCCCCCTTTGTTTCACACAAATTTTTTTTTTGTTTTTTCTCCATTAACCTTGTTCATGCCTTGTTCTCTTGAGGAGAGGATGCTTCTGCCAGAGCCGACACTGCCTTTGACCAGATGATCCGTGTTCTCCTTGCGAGCAGAGACCCCTCTTTATCCGGTCTCAGCAGGGTGCCCGGTGCCTGGTAGGTGCCCAGTGGCTGTGCTCCCAGCAGACCTGAGTCTCTCATTAAACAGCCACCTCTCAAGGAGCTGGGCCCAGCTCACGGCCTCCGCCTCCGCGGATGATCTGTGCTGAATTTTAATGTGGGGTCGCTTCCTCCTGCTGCTCAGCCTGAGTCTGAGCAGCGACCCAGCCCTCCCCTCACCTGCTCCCCCTTCCCCTGCCCAGCTGTTGTGGGCTCAGAGAATATTAGTTAAGTTTAATATTAGCCTGAGGAAGATTAATTAGGAAGGCAAATTTGCTCTAAAAGGTGTAATTAATTCCAAAGCCAAATAGAGAGAGTTATGGATTATCTGCACCGCTGCCTTCGAGTCGTGTAGATAATCAAGGGTGGACTAGAGCATAGAATAATTTTTTAAGTGTCAGTGCTGTGTAGACCAAACTCCATATGGTTCCTTACATAAGCAGGCTCATGGCTGAGACTAAAGATTTAGACTGAGGTGGTGCCTATGCAAGTGAAGGAAAGAGGAACCATCCAGTCAGACATCCTGTCCTGGCTGTTCCAGCTCCTGAATCATTCATGAATCACGTGTCTCCCTCTCCAGCCCTCCGCCAAGCTGGCCTGCTCCAAGTCTGAATCAATTCTTTTCTGGACTATTGTAATAACTCCCCCAAGCGGCAACTCACTCTCTACTCAGGGTCTAACCTAAATTGTATCAAGTGCATAAACACGTTATCCTCCACCCAGTGTCAGATCATGCAGTGTCCCATTTACAAACTTCCAAATGTGCCTAGAGGTGAAGGTTAACTCTGTAGCATGGCCCACAAGATCCTTCACAAATTGGCTCCCATCTATCCACCTGGCTCATTTCCCTTCTCTCTCACCACACCCCTAGAGTGGCTGTCCCCAGACTCCTTGTCATAGGGCAAACTATTGCCCATTCTGGAAGTCTCAGCCTAAATGAAACTTTCAACCTTTAGGAGCTCCCAATTCTGGGCTCCCGTAGTGCTCTGTTAACAGCTTATCTTGTTTTCTTGTAATTATTTGTTTTCTGTTTAAGGAGACACTGAGCTCCTTAAAAGGACTGTAGCTTTTGCATCCTGGTATTCTCTTCTACCTCTCCCTAATTTAGCCCAGGTATATTGTCTGTCCCCTAGGAGATGATCAATAAATATTTGTTGAGAGAAGTTGGTCAGTTAATGATTTCAACAATGATACCAAGTGAATTAGGTCATTGAAACCCAAACTTCCTCCTTTCTCCCCCAGTCAATAGTAAATGCAGCTTGAAGTACCCAGGGAAATGCCTTCGTTCTCTGTTTCCTTGTGCCTGCCTAGCTGAGGCTCAGAGGCAGGTGGATTCAGGAGGAAAGTAGAATGGTGAGTGATGCAGACTTCAGCCTGGCAGCTGCTGATCTTTGCTTAGTTGATTTCCCCCTTTGCAAACGGTTATTGGCAATTGAAACTGCAAATCTGCTGTCTGCTCCCCTACGTAAATTGCATTTACATTTAAATTGTGCATTCTTCCAAAGGATGGGGCTAGTAAATAACAGCAGATTAAACTTGAGGAGAGGAAATTGTGCCCCGCGTCAAACCTGAGACTGAAATGACATCTGGCTTTTGCTATTTCCGTTATTTCAGTTTAATAACGGCATGTGGCACTAAGGGAAAAGAAGTTGGATCTACATTTTAATGAAAGGAGGACGCTCTCACGGTTTAGCTACCTTATCATGTTGAATACCTAGCCAATTGGCAGTTAAAACGCTTCCCTCAAGAAATGGAATAAAATATCTTTGCAGCTATGGAGGGAATAAAAAACAAACAACCCAATGCCCGAGATTTCACAGATAAAACCAAGGGAAATGGGTGCTGTAAACATCAAAACCAAATATTTCTGGATACCACAGAATACAGAAATTCTTAAACAGAAGAAAGCTGAGAATAGAAACCTGGATACGCTGATGGGATCTTCAAGAGAATAACTTCAGAAAGAATAGTTTGTACATAACAGGGGGCTCAAACCAATCAGATCATCTGCTTGACTTCTTTGTTTTAAACCCCAGAGGTCTGACCAAGAAAATATTTGAGAAATGCCTGTTTCTTCTCAGCAGTCTGTTTCAGTGGAAGCGGTTCCACCTGCTGGCTGCTTTTTTGTTGAAAGCAATTCTGGGAAATGTAAACAAAATGCTTGTGCATCCTAATAACCCAAGCCTATCATTTCTTTGCTTTGATTGAAACAAATGTGTCAATTTTCAAAGTCTTTGTTTGGTGAATCCAGTGTTTGGATGTTGGCAAATGTTTGCATTACGTGTTTGTTTGGAAATTGATGCTCTATTCAGAAACTCTGGAGCAATAGTCCTTGAAATAGCCTGAGATTACCCAATGATCATCCACCCCAAACTGCTCAGTCCTTTCCCAGAATCCAGACAGTGTTGAGAGGAGAGGGGCCATGGGCAGGTGTGAATGGGGTGGAGCCTCCTGAGGAAGAGAGTGGATGTGGACACTTTCTGAGGATAGGGCTCAAGAATAATTAGGAAAATGGAAAACGTTTATAGGGTGCTTACTATGTGCCAAGCACTTCACGTGTAGTATAACTCATTGAATCCTCATGACAGACCTGTGAGGTAGGTACCGTTGTCATCCCCGTTACAGATGAGGAAAAGTAGACACAGTAGGTTAGTAACTTACCCCACCGGATGTCACCCAGCTGGCCAGAGACAGAGCTGGGATTTGACTCCAGGCAGGCTGGCTCCACTGTCCCCTTCACCCCATTCAGACGACTCCCTCCTACTCCTGGTATTTAATTAAGGCATTGTGTTTTCCCAAAGTGACATTTTGTCTTGCATAATTGTTTTTAAAGTCTCAGCAGTCTTTTTTGAAAGACTCAAGCTAATAGTCTGAGGGATCTTTCCTTAAACAAAACAAAGCAGCAATAACAAAAACTAGGGTTCTGCAGTAAAAATGATTCTGTTTGTCCCGGAGGTCTTACTGGAGTGTGCAGAGGATGAAATGAGACGGTATGTGTTAAAAAGAAACAGGCCCACGGTGGAGTCGCTTGCCCTCAGGACAGCAAATCAAGACAACTGCAGTTTCAGCCTCTCCCAGGAATATGATCGTAAACCTAGAAATCAGAAAATTCCTGACCAACACCAGTGAGGTCGTCTGCCTGATAAGATATCTGCTGCTCTTCCCCCAAAGAAAGGTGACTTTGCCCAAAATCGTCCTTTGTTTTCTCTTACTAATAACTTTCTTGTCCCCTCCAATTTCTGCCTATAAATAGCTTCCATTTTGTGCAACTCCTTCAAGCGCCTTTATTTACTAGATGAGATGCTGCCCGATTCATGAATCGTTGAATAAAGCCAATTAGATCTTTAAATTTACTGGGTTGAGTTTTTGTTTATTAACAGATTAAGGTGCTTTGAAAAGGCTGAAACCATCGAAATTCTGCAACATACAATAGTCCTCACTTACCTGTAGTTTTGCTTTCCATGGTTTCAATTAACTGGTCAACCACAGTCTGAAAATATTAAGTGGAAAATTCCAGAAATAAACAATTTATAAGTTTTAAATTGTGTGCCGTTCTGAGCAGCATGATGAAATCTTGCGCCATCCTGCTCCATCCCACCTGGGACATGAATCATTCGTTTGTCCAGTGGATCCACGCCGTACATGCCACCTGCCTGATAGTCACTTAGTAGCCATCTCGGGTTATCAGATTGACTGTTGAGATCTCGCAGTGCTTGTATTCAAATAACCCTTATTTTATTTAATAATGGCCCCAAAGCTCAAGAGTAGTGATGCTGGCAGTTCAGATATTCCAAAGAGAAGCCCTAAAGTGCTTCCTTTAAGTAAAAAGGTGAAAGTTGTCAGCTTAATAAGGAAAGAAAAAAATGGTAGGCTGAGGTTACTAAGACCTATAGTAACTTTTACTACAGTATATTGTTATAATTGTTCTATTATTAGTTATTGTTGTTAATCTCTTCCTGTGCCTAATTTATAAATTAAACTTTGTCATAGATACGTACATATAGGAAAAAACACAGTATATATAGAGTTTGGTACTGTCTGCAGTTTCAGGCATCCACTGGGGGTCTTGGAATGTATGCCCTGTGGATAAGAGGGGACTGCTGTATTATTATTTATCTGTACTCCATTCTGATTCTTATTCTTAAATGAGCAATTCCTTAACAAGTTCATCTGGGTTTCTTCCATTTTCTCATTTCCTCAGAGTATATGACCAAATTACCCTTCCGCTCCTGTGGCTCTTTTGCTCATGGCCTGGACCCTTGAGTTTGTTTCATTTCTCCTTTATCTTCCCGGTTTCTTGGCACCGTTTGGTTTGGTAGCAGCTCCTTCTCCTCACTCCCTATGCATAATGATAACTTCTCTGCATCTCTTGACATTTTATGATGGCAGTCTGCCTGTCAAGTCAACCAGTGCCTCCTTCTGTTTGAACTTAGGTTAAATTAATCGTCTGACTTTCACATCAGTCTGTTGCCGTGGGGGTTACTGATGTCACACTGTAGGTATTATGATTATCTAACAGGCAAAAGGTGTCGGTTGCTGGTGGAAACTCCTGGGTGAAACTCACCCAGCTTTAGTAACCATCCCAACTGCATGACTTGAGACAATCATGTAAAGGGGTGAGTGGATTAATTATCCATTTGGATTCCATTTGAATGTTTTCCTTCCACATGTGTGCTCCCTCTAGGCAATTGTCTAGTGTCACTTGAAATTGATGAGGGCTCTTTTGGAGGTTATTTTTGGGAAAGCGGTGGAAGAACAGACAGCTGTTCTCAGGAAGAAATGTCACGGATCTGCCTAAGCTCGCTTCCAACGGGGGAAGGATTCTGAGGTGCTTTGTCCTTTTCCTCTCTAACATCAGGTTGTTTACCGGTGGCCTAAAAGTGTTCATCTTTCCAAACACGCAGAAAGAAGGAAACTTACATTCACCAAGCACCTACTGTGTGCCAGAAGGTGCTCTGGTCGAAGTATAGCTTTAAAGTGGAGAGCCTGTTAAGCTAGTTTTCTCCAACAACGGTGTTATACGTGACAATTCACAGCTTCTTGCAGCTTGTATACAGTGTTCTTCCTAATTGGACGTTGACTGATCACCAATAAAGGGAAAGTCATTACTTAAAATTGGTCCAGACCCTCCTATGCTGGGTAACTGTCTTGGAGTCGTTTTCCCTGCAATATTAAAAAAACCTGGCAACGTGATAGAAATGAGGGACAATAAATAAACTCCTAAATTAAAAATCTCTGTTAAAAGGTTTGACAGACGGGTCTGTCTTTTTCAGGATTTGGTGAAGCAGGGGGAGGGGTCAGTGCTGGGGTATGAGGGGGTCAACTCAATGAGACTGAGTGGGCGTGACGCTGCGCGGGGTTGGAGAGCCGTATCCTCGGGACTCGCGGAAATCTATAGAAATCAATTTGTGTGCCAGAGAATGAATAGCTGACTTTTTTCAAATGCCAATTCAGCAATTACAAAGTCTGCTGGCGGTTAATTAAAAACTACCATCTCGTTATGTTCAGAGTGAAATTATGAGTGTAGAAACTACCGCTGTCTGCAGTCACCGAGCGCTCTGCGCTCCCCGTACTCTCATCAGAAGGAGGGCCGGATAAATAACTTTTATTTAACTCACTGAAAGATCTCTCTCAGCTCTTTCATATTTAATTAATTTCTTATCTTCCCAGAGCTTGAGTCTTACTCAGAGTTCCTAAGCAGTAATGGAAATATTCGTTCGTTTTGCACAGAGGATTTTTCTCACATTAGTTGCGTAGAAAAGTTAGAAATAATTGAACCCCAAGGACACTGGGGATAGTGACACCCATACGAAGCTTTGCATTGAGGCAACTAAATTCGGAAGAGATTTATAGCAGAAAACAGCAGAAAATGGTGATTTTTACTTCCTTGCCTGTGTACCTGCAACACTGCGGAGATGGGGTTGTGAACACTTTTGGGGACTGGTAAAGTTTTCGTTCTTAGTTGTAAGGCTGTCTTAATGAATTTAACGTTTAATGTTTTCCTGTTTCAAAGATCCCTACTGGAAATCTGTCAGAAAAGAGACCAAACGTCTGTCACCATGGTGGATGTGAAATGTCTGAGCGACTGTGAATTGCGGGCTGAACTCGATAAGCTTGGGTTTTCACCTGGCCCAATACTACGTATGTATACATCTGACGCTGGCGACTGGCCAATTTAAAGTTATTTACGGTGGAAGGAACACATGCGATAAAAACCATTAAACAGAGATAGGAAACCAAGAAAACAGAAAACCGTAGAAAGAGAAGAAGCAGTGGAACACCCAGATCCTGCTTACAGATTAGTCAGTACGGTGCCGGAGAGAAGGGAGTGGTTTGTCCCAACAGTGAAAAAACCTGTTTGTTTGGTTTTTTCATTTCTAGTACGTGCACTCTGTTAGCTATTTACGTACTTATGGTGCATATTCCCCTCGATAGGATGTACAGCTTGATCAGCCTTGTTCTCAGGTGTCTCCAGTGCCTGACTCACCGGCTAATCCAGAGGCCTCTCCTGAAGTGTGTGTGGAAGGAAAGGAGTGTGTTGAGTGGCTGTGGGGTCCACCTTATTGCAAAAGCCATAATTAAGCAATGATGTCAGGTACAAGAATGAGGGTCTGAGTTGTGAAGTACCTTGAACCCAGTGAGATCACACACACAACCAGAACCATTTAATCTTTTCTCCACGTTCTTCTTCAGCTTCCACCAGAAAAGCGTATGAGAAAAAGTTAGTGCAACTGTTGGTCTCAACTCCCTGTGTGTCACCTGTGATGAATGGACCCAGAGAGCTGGACAGAGCCTGGGATCGCGATGGCAGTGAAGGTACCATCAGGAGCTGTACAGCTAGATAGCAACTTTGCACTTATTAAGACCTGTCCAGCACGACAGGTTTAGATGGTAGGCAGCTATAGATAGTATGCAGGTGATCTGTGCAATATGCACATGGCCTGTTTGCACACAGAGCCTGGAAAATAGGCCCCTGGCTGCAAAAGGAATCTGTAACTCCATATCTATATTCATGCCAGTGCCTCAATTGGGCAGAAAGTGGAGGGAAGGACTAGTCAATCTGCAAGTCTTCTTACTAGCCAGAGCCAAATCTGTGTTTGATTTCCAATACCAGACATTCCTGTGGGTAATTTCTGGGTCTCCTTTGAGGTCTCAACCTCTGCTTTGCCTCAATCAATAAATGTGACAATTATTTTCTCTGGATTAAATGACTTCACGTCCATTAAGAAGGATGAAGCAGATTGTACCTCCTTGGCCTCCTGCTATGCCTGCTGCTCTCCTGACTCAATGGGAGCTGGCCACAGCTGGTCCTCCAGGTCCCAGGGTGTGGGGGCAGGGCTCTCCGGATCCATGGGCTTCCCTTACAGTGGCTCCCGCCCCAGGTGCACCACTCCCCAGTAGGGGCATCTGGCTTGGGCTCTGAGAGGGCGGGCTTCAAGATTCCCACAATACATTCCAAAGCTCTTTCATTCACTATTTATTAGGAGTCCTCTATGAGTCACAGGAAAATAACAGAACTATCATTTATTGAAGGCCACCAAAGCATTTCTGGCCTAATGAGCGTCATCTCACTTAACCGTCATAACACTTAGCTTAAGTTCAGAGAGGCCAAGTGACTGGCCCAACATCATCTAGCTAGGAAGCGGCCTCAGACGATAAGCATCCATTAGAAGGTGGCATGAAGAGCAGGACCCATCTATCTTCATCACACAACATGTGCAGATCTTAGGACAGCATCAGGCACAGAGCAGGAATTCAGTATGTGGTTGTTGAATGAAAGTGACAGAAGTGACATTTGCGCCCAGGTCTGGCTCTGATAATTGTGCTCTTTCTGACCGCATACCCTACACTTTTCTCACAATTTCTACTATGAGGATAAACATTACATTTTTGACCATGTTTGATCTACAAAAAATGGCAGTTTCATATAGTTCAAATCAATAGTTCAACAAACAAGAGAAGTGCCCGGGGCCCTCTGAAAAATCCCCTGCAATGCCTGGTATTGGAGGTGGCACAGGTGCTGAGAGCTTTCCCCAGGAGTCTGGCATGGCTGGCCTCGTTTGGAGAGGGCAGCAGGGTTTGGCAATGGACCTCACTGGCACCTGGGCAGGACAGTCAGCATGGGGGTGCCTCAGGGCAAGTGGCTGCCCCAGACCCTTTCTGGATGTGGGATGTGTCAGAGTCCTGGCCCAGAGCTGGGGCTGCCTCTGTTTCCTGCCCTGGAAAGGAGCCGAAGCGACCAGCCAAGCCCTCCAATGCAATGTGGTGCCAGGCTTGAAGGTTCTGGAGAGGAAGGCCTGTGCACTCACCACTCATGGCCGCCCAGGACTGCGGGTCAATGCCACAAAGCCAAGCTGCCGTGGTCTCAGGCCGAGCTGTCCTGGTCCTCAGCTTGCAACCTCCACAGAGGGACATTTGTGCCAGGGCCAGGAGAAAATCAGTCCCTCGGTGGGCACGCTGTGCCCTTGCTTTACACTGTCAACCTGACACCAGCCAGCTGTGGGCAGTCAGGTCAGAGGTGGGAGCTCTGTTCAGTCCTACCCTTGTAATGCGGTTCTGCAGTGTCGACAGCTGGTGTCGCTACAATAGACAGCCTCTCCAGGTCGGGTCTGAATCAGACTTTTGAACTCGCTCGTTAAAGGAGCCTCAGAGACCCAGGTGCCATTAGAATGGAGGGGTTGATGTGGAGCTGATGGGTCCTGTGGGGATTCAGCCGTGGGCATTTCACAGAAACCCCTCATCCTGGTGTGGGGAGTGGGGGCGGGGCAGGGGGGCCAGTTCCAGACCTGAGCTGAGTGCTAGGTCATCCAAGAAATGAGTGGATTTGGTTTTCCTCATTTTCCTCTTGGTTTTGGCACTGGGTAGACATAGCTTTAATGACCTAACCTCTTTTCAAGTTTCCCAGTATTCTGACTTGGAGAGCTCATTTAAAAGCTCCTCCGTTAAAAGCTCTGCTGAATGGGCCGCAGCACACAATTGCTCCGAGCCCATCAGAATGCTTCTCCACAGGCTGAAGGCCAGGGCTGAGCAGCAGTGCCTTCAGCGGTGGCTGATGGTCTGGCCTTTCAGCACGGGTCTGGCTTCCCTCCCCTGGGTGCTTCTTCGGACACAGAAGGAGAGAATCCTCCCACCCTAGCTTGACAGTCAGGGATGCACAAGGCTTCAAGCTGGTTCAGACGGGCAATGACGAGACTAAAGACAGCTGCCCACATGTGCAGCCAGCTTGGGCTCTGCAATGTGTTTCTCCCAGAGGCATAGAAATATGCCGGTCAGGAGCCCGCCCCCTGTTCCCAGGGGAAGGGCCGGAGTGCGTTCCACGAAAGCCCCTGCAGAAGCACTCATTTCCCTCAGGAGGGCAAAGCGAATGTTCTCCTCTCACAAATCCTCCAGCCCGATGACTGAGAGAGCTCAGCCCGTGATTGGTGTTTCTTCCCTTTGCTAGCTCGCAGGTTCTCATGGCCTGTTTTCCTTTTGTTTCCCACGATCCAGAGCTTAATGCCACTGTCATTTTGAAAGGAAATATCATACTCTCATCAGAAAAAGACAAGGGACCCAAAAAAGTATGTACAGTTCTAATGCATGAATACTTTTACACATGTATAATATAGGAAATAGCACTGTTCGTGTGTGTTAAGAAAGGAAAGAGCAAGTCACTACATTCTGTTATAGAGGTAAAGTCTTAATTTAAAGACGCTCCTTTTAGTGCAGGTTTCTGTTTTGTGAAACTATTTCCATGTTCTAGGACAGGACCCAGAGTAACAGGGTCCCCCTACCCCACCCTGCATTCCCTCCCAGCTGCCATCCCCTCTGTCCTTTCACCATCGTCGTCTGCATTCGCAGTGGGCCTTGAGCAGAGTTCTGGACCCCTGGAGCACAGAGTAAGTGTGGCTCCCTGTTCCCTTCTCGTCCCCACACGCTGAGATCTGGCTTCCACCTGCACCACCACGTTGAGGCACTCGGCCAAGTGTGTGATGCAGCAGGTTTGAGGGTGAGGCCTCGCTGGTTGACAGTCCCTGCCCTTCCACTTGCCAGTTGTGTGACAGGGAAGTCACTTAGATCCTACCCTCCTGGGGCTGTGTAATGGTGGTACTACTTCGTAGGGTGAGTGTGAAGTGAGGGGTGGGTAAAGCTCTTGGCACAGAACATGGCACATGATTCTTTCACATAATGATGAACTCCGAGACGTTGACTCTAGCCACTTGTTCTGCCTTCTGACGTCTGTCCTCTTTATTTAGAGACACCTGCCTCCTTAGATTTCAGCAGCTTTGCGCTCCCTAGGTTCTTGGTTCTGCACCTTTGACTGTTTCCACTCGACTCTGTCTTTTGGGCCCTAAATGTTCCTCGTGCCTGAGATCCCTGTCTTCAGCCTCTCTCTCCTGCGGCGCCTCAAGCACTTACCTCCTCTGTGTCGTGACTCCACGACACCCTCTCTCCTGCCGCACAGGCCTGCATTTCCACCTGCCTCCTGAGAGCTCCTGTTTTCCTCCTCCTTCCCTCCTTCCTGTATGCATCCAGCAAATGTCATCTGTAATAACGAACACTTCATAGATTATACATATAGGTATCTACGCTTCTCCCTGCGGCTACCTCCAGCACCTCACACTCAGGATATCCAGGACTAAGCTCACTGCCGCTCACCCCAAACCTGTTTTGGTGGCCTCTGTTTATCTTGGTGGTTCCACCACCTTCGCGTTGTCCAGGCTCAAACTCTCAGCTATCTTGGAACACCCACTCCCCATAGCTGCTCACCTGTGAACAGTTGCCAAGTCGTATGGATTTGAATTTTGATTCTTAAAAATCTATGCCTCTTTTCTCTTCCCACTGCTGCTGTCCTCGCTTGCACCCCTTTATTATTATTAGTTTTGGTTTTAGTTTGCACGGTTGCAGTGTCCTCCTAGCTGGTCTCTGCCTCCACCCTTCCTCCTTTCCAGCTCAGACACACAAGCAGAGATTCAATCGTGCCATTCATTTGCCTGGAAACTTTCAAACTTACTCTACGCCACGAGGAGACTCCAATATCTCTGTGACTTTCTCTCTCTCGTCATGCAGCCCAGACCATGCTTACCTTGTTTCTTCAACTCTCACCTTTCTTCTCACATGCCTCCGCCTTAACTGTTCTTCACCCCAGGAATCCTTCTCATTCCCATCCCATTTTCCTTCTAGTTAAAATCCTGTGATGCATAAGGAATGTCTCAAAGGCCACTCCTCCGCGCCCCTTTAAAATTGCCCCTTATCCCCTTTAGTAGCCGTCACAGGGTCTTGCACATGGTAGGAGCCCAAAGCTCAGCTCATCGAATCTTCTAAATAACTCTAGTCACAAACAGGTTAGTTTGCGAATACGGTGTCATATTTAAACCACTTGCTGAGTTTAAATAAATGAAAAGAAAACCCCAAGTAAACAACACTGCAGTGTGCTGTAGCTTTAGCTTCCCGTTTAAACATAATTCAAATTTGATGAAGTAATTGTGATATCTTATCAAATTTTCTGAAAGGATTTTTTAAATCTTCCAAATGGCTCATCAAAGGAATCCTTTCTGTTCAGGAGATCTCGTTTCTGTAGAAAACCTTTTTGTATAGTTCCTGCAAAAGACCTTTAAAGGGGAAAAAGCAACCCGAGTATTTAAAATGCATCAGGTGGGACCAATGCCCTTCAGTCTTCGCTTTACGTAAACCTGAAATAAAACCACATAAATATTTTGAACTGGCAATAGAATTAAGTAGAAAGTTTGTGATGGCATAAAATGTTTTGATCTGAGGGATTTATGTAAGCCATTTTGATTCTCAGAAGGGCCTCGAGACATCTGTTCAACCTTAAATCCGAAAGTAAATGTAAACACCCCTTTAAATTTCCAGGTAAAAGGTGATAGAAAGCCCGTTTACTGAGTCAGTTGTCATGATGTAAGAGCGGTGGTCTGCAGCTGATGGCCCTCTGAGCACCTAGAAGGGGTATGCGTTTCTTGGAAACACCAATGAGCACGTATTCTCCTCTCCTCTCATGGTGGCAGGTTTCTGGGGGAACACAAACCACTTTGAGATTTGGATTATGCCAATTTCTGGACACTTTTTAATGCTGTCTGTGTGTTTGATTTGGTGATTATGACCCCTCAGAAAGCCAGGTTAATATTTTTTCACTTGGGGAATTTTTTCTCAGGTAGACTCTCCACACGGCTTCCGCTTCCGCTGATGGAGCAGGGAGTTGAGCCAGTGTGCCTAACTCAGCCTCTAAGCCCCTTCTACCAAAGAGGGACAAGGGGATTTGGGGGCTGTCGGGAGGCAAAACATTCCACAACGTCAGGCTGCATGGACTCAGGTGGGTTTTTTTGGGTTGTTATTGTTGTTGTTTTTAATTGTTTTATTGAGGTCATAATGGTTTATAACATTGTGTGATTTCAGGTGTACATTATTATATATCAGTTTCTGTACAGACTGCATCATGCTCACCACCAATAGTCTAATTTTTACCCATCACCGTACATATGTGCCCCTTTACCCCTTTCACCCACACCTCAACCCCCTCCCCCTCTGGTAACCACTAATCTGGTCTCTTTGTCCATGTGTTTGTTTATCTTCCACATATGCGTGAGATCGTGTTGTGTTTGTCTTTCTCTGTCTAGCTTATTTTGCTTACTATCACACCCTCACAGTCCATCCACATTGTTGCAAATGGAATGATTTTGTCTTTTTCTCTATGGCTGAGTAGTATTCCATTGTATATATACACCACATCTTCTTTATCCATTCATCAGTGGATGGGCTCTTGCGTTGCTTCCGTGTCTTGGCCACTGTGAATAGTGCTGCAGTGAACATAGGGGTACGTATGTTACTTTGAATTGCTGATTTCAAGTTCTTTGGATAAATATCCAGTAGTGGGATAGCTGGATCATATGGTATTTCTATTTTTCTTTTTTGAGAAATCCCCATTCTGTTTCCCATAGTGGCTGCACCAGTTTGCATTCCCACCAGCAGTATATGAGGGTTCCCTTTTCTCCACATCCTCTCCAACATTTGTTACTTTTTGTCTTGGTAGTTATAGCCATTCTGACAAGTATAAGGTGAGATCTCATTGTAGTTTGGATTTGCATTTCCCTGATGATTAGTTTTACTGAACATCTTTTCATGTGCCTGTTGGCTATCTGTATATCTTCTCTGGAAAAATGTCTGTCATGAAGTGAGGTTTGAGTAGGGCGACCATATAATTTATCACTCTGATACTGAACCTCTCCATCTCAAGTTCACGTGCCCGATGTGCAATAAACCATGCACAAACCAATCACTGAGACATCTGTGCTTGGAAATGAAGAAAGGTTTATTCCAATTGGCCAAAACAAGAAGGCAGGAGGATAGGTTCTCTCAAATCTGCCTTAACAAAAGAAGAAAGCAGGGGGTTTTATAGCACTAAGGGGCTTGGGAGGAGGAGTTTTGGAGAAACAAAAGGGAAATCTATGTTTCTTTCACTCCAGATAAAATTCTTGAGCAATCAGACTTCTGGTTAACAGCAACTGGGGGCTGGTTATCTGGTGATCATAACTTCCTTGAAGGCCTTCTTTTTCTTCTACAAAACAAGCTCATAAATCCTTGTGACCCTTGAGTCACCCCTCAAATTAAACAAGAAAGCAGCAAATTAACAAGATTAACTTCTTTCTATGTGTGTCTTGGGAACAAGGTTGAAGGGTAATCGTGTTCTTATTGAATATTTAGCCCTCAGGTACCTAGCTTCGACTTCAGACAGGATGCTTTTGAGAATGAAAGGCAACACTAACCAGAGGGATACTGGAATAACAGGAGTGAAATAGGACTGTCCTGGCAAATCAAGGCATGTGGTCACCCTGGGTGTGGGAGTGGTCCAAAGGCTGAAGCGTTTGCACATGCACACCCATCTGCAGAGGGCACTGCATCCAACACCCCGAGGGCAGCTGGCGCTGGGAAGGGTGTGCTTCTGAGCGCTCCTGGCTCCATCTGGGCGTTTCCTTATTCTCTCCCAAATACAGTATGCTCTTTCCTGCCAGAATCTCAGTTCATTCTGTTCTCCCAGCCTGGAATGCTCTCTTCTCATCTTGTCACCTATCCTACACATTCTACTAGGAGTTTCTCAAAATGCGTCCTGTGGGTCTGCGCATAGGAAGCTGCGTTTTCAATTAGGCCCTACTCCCACCTTCTGCCCAAGAGCTTTTGCTCCAGCTTGTAAAATTTTGATGGCAAAACATATATCTTCAAATCCTCTGCATTCAGTTCAATGCCAGGCCTATGGGGAGAGAAGAGGGGGGTTACTCAGTGTCTGTGGGCTGAACCGAATGGAGCCTTTATCCTGTATTGATGCTGATCACCTCTCTTTCTCTGACTTCTTATTCTGAACCGTCTCTTTTGTCTCTTAGACATATCTTAATGAATTCTCTTGAGAGACAGTGCTTATGTCATAATGAATTGATGGCCACGCAGAGAATGGTTACAACAGAGCTTCTGCCCTGGGTCTCAGCTCATAAGTTAACAAGTATTTATCGAATACAAGGCATTGTGCTGGACCTTCTTGAGGAAGGAAAACAGGTGCAGACGGAGGCATAGT